GTTACTGCATCCCTAAGGGCAATGGAGGTCATCTAAGACTTCTACTCGGATCTCTTCGACAGCCACGTCTACCTGCCTACTCACCATCTTAGGCAAGACGAATATATCGCTCCTTCGATTCTTCCTTCCGAAATACGACATGCCATCACGTCGATGAAGAACTGTACAGCGCCCGGTCCCGATAGGATCAAACCAGAACATCTGAAGAGTATACCACCCGTCATCATCAAAACTCTGGCTTCACACGGTACCTGCAAAGGGCCCACGTCGTGAAAAACTAGCAAGACCGTGTTGCTGTACAAAAAGGGAGATCCAGACTATATTAGCAATCTGCCTGCTGTCTGCAATCTACAAGCTTTTCACTCGTGTCATCCTAAACAGGATTGGCAGAATACTAGATGAAGGACAGCCATGCGAGCAAGCAGGGTTTCGGAGAGGGTTCAGTACAATCGATCATATCCGCACTCTCACAAGGCTCATTGAAGTATCACGAGAGTACAAAATGCCGTTATGTTTTACTTTATCGATTTGAAGAAAGCCTTTGACACCGCTGAGACAGAAGCGATAATTGAAGCTCTGAGCAATCAGGGTTTCCTACTCAATATATAAGGATGCTTCGTGATCTTCACGACCATGATTTCACCATTCTACAAGGAAGTCATTGTCAAATTGAAGACAGGTGCCGGCAAGGCAATACTATTTCGCCCAACTTTTCAGTGCCACTCTCGAGAATATCATGCATCCTTTGGAATGGGCAGACTTGAGAATGAAGGTCGTTGGTCGCCACCTACATCACCTCCGCTTTGCAGACGACATCGTGCTTATAACACCGAACACCGAGAAGGCGGAACGAATGCTGGCCGAGTTTGATAGTGCTTGTGGAAAGATCGGCTTGAGACTGAACTTAACGAAGACGACGTTCATGAAAAACGGAATGGTACCTGATGCTCCTTTCACGTTAAACGGAACGAATATCTCCGAATGGCCAAGCTATGTGTATCTAGGTCGGGAAGTCAACATGATGAACGACCTAGCTCCAGAGCAGTGCAGAAAGGAACGCGCCGCATGGGGAGCATTTGATAATATCGAGGGATTAGTGAAGAAGACGTCACATCACGATATTCTCCCCAAATATTATGAAACATCCAATAATCTATTACAAGTATTTTGCCGTGATCACTGTCTGAATCACCCTAAAAAGATGTGCTGAAGGCGACGAATGCACGCCTGATAGCTTTTCAACATTACGTACTAGATTAGGTCCTCAGCTTCGAAGGAATAAGCCCAAAATATGCCATATAGCTGTTTTTTCTGCATTTCTGTACACGCTATGTTCGCAATAGGATGACCCTTTCACTTCATGAACATATTTGGTGCACGAAATGATAATGAATTAAATTGTTATCACAAGTGCAACGACTGAAAAAGATTCCATAACATCGCGCTGCATTACAATCACTTACCAAATCAGGGAAAAATAGGGATGTGCTGTGGCTCGAAATGACTCTGGTGAGTGACTAAGCAGCCAGCGCCGTGTCATTAATAAGAAAGAAAGTCTCTCGACATAATAGCACAGAAGTGAAAGCAGGCAGGTGGCAGATAGTAAGCCAAGTTACGTGTGTATAAGCAGGTTGAGATCGGGAGCTACTATGAGGTGAGGATCATGTTTTGTTTTGAAAGGCAACAAGAAATGAGTTATGATTGGTTGTATTAGCGCTACCCTTGTGGAGATAAAGCGGGCTGAACGACTTCATGGTCTTTGAATGACGTCCACGAATCTACTACCAACAAAGTTTGAAGCCGCCATGCACGATCGTACCAACTCTAAAACCACGATGGACTTCTGATCTAGGCCATCTACGAAAACACGAGACATAGTAGTGAAAGAGTGGGTTTTTGCAAAGTGCAGCCGCTCTACCTTATTTATCTTCTCTGAGTCTCTTGGAGCCAGAAATGGCCGAGAGAGTACATATCGCTCAGAAATTTCATCGTAAATGTGAAGGATCGAAAGGATCAAGACCTTGGCGTTGATCGATTCAACCTCTGGGATACGCTCCGTATTCGATTTTCATTTGTAGTGACGTTTGGACTGCGTATATGGCTTCTGCAATGAGGCGCGGTGACAAGCCAATGTACAAGTCAATGATTTCAACTACCCAGAGGAGTGTTGTCAAAATTATCCGACGCCAAACTGGACCACCCGTTTGTGATAGTGCGCGAACTACCACCGCACCTCATTCGGCCTACTGTGAATACAACTGTACAAATATGCAAAAAGTTGAAGCAATGTTGCAAGTTTCGGGTAAGAAAGTTGTCACCACAACCATCAAAAGGTGGTAGAACGCGATGGAATCAACATCAAACGAACTCAAAGACCACAAGGAAAAAATTAATGTGGTGAAAAGCAAAATCCTTATCCTCTACAAAAACCGAACCTTAGCCTCCCGCACATGAACGTCACACTTACCACTGCTCCAAGCCACCGCTTTGGAGCCTGGCACAACCACATTAGACCTACCTCAAACTACTTTATGACCCTACTTAGGAATCGTCCGGTGAATTTGGAAAGCAGATCTGAGGTCAGCGTCCAAAATTTGTTCAGCAGTGTACATAGGTCTCATTGCAATTTTCCACTTCGACTTGGGATCCTTCTCCGGTTAGCTTCAAGTTTTCTTGGAGGGGTACGTACAAGTTGGCACAGTCACGATCTGAATGGAAGACAAGGAATATTCTTTGTTTATTAAATGAAAGCAGCAGAAATGAATCTGGTTTCTTTATCAGTTGGTTCTGCAAGTGCAAGCATTTAAGATGATAAGATATGACCGCAATAAGTTGACTGGGGCTACAATTTACTGGTAGCGGTCGCTCAGCTTCTATGTTTTCGTGGAATGTGACTAAAATAATGTCATGCCTGATAAACTTTTTCTGACAGTTTGGACGGAAAAACAAGAAACGCAGTATCATGAATGTTTCCATAATCACTGGAATAAAGAGTAAAGGCGATAACATGTGAATAGAGCAACAGCATCACAAGAAAGAGCGGTGCCAGCGTGAAGCACAGTGCCATATTCAGGGCTCCCTCTTGAAAGGTTGCCAGGTCGTCACAGGTAAAGGAACTATGGCGCAAGATAATTTGGATAGCGTAAAGCGAGTTTTCACTTATCGACATATCTTTACACCAGACGGCCACGCACGCTATCGCGTGCGCTAGGATCTATGAGTTTCCGCTCAAACCCCGCCTCCTGTGGGAGGAGTCTCTTCCTGCTACCCGCTATAAGTGTTCCGACCCTGTCGCCTGTACTCCTAACAAGTTTGAACTTTCTATATCCACGGAGACAGGAGTTGTGATTTTCCAAAAACTTTTCATAAAGCATTGCATTTTTAGAGAATGGCCGGCCCATCGAGAGTGGGTCTCACCTGTTCGATCTAACTTATCAATGCAGACCTCTAGCCACCTTTAGACCCCAGTTTGAAATCATGATCCTCATTACAGCTCATTTGTATTTGCACGCCACGCCCACTGTGGACGGGACTCCGCCAAGTTTATGTGTGCTTTATACTTCTCGGGACATGGCTCACCTATCCCACGCTTAACCCAATCTCTCCAGGCGGATCTAAAGGAACTAAGGAATTTCGTGACAGACATACATAACGAAGACGACAGACAGACGACAGACGAAGCCCTTTATAGTAAGTAGGATCTATTCTTAAACATCGCGTTGATTGTACATAGCCACGAGAACACAAATGTGGGTGAAATAAGCATTTGTATACAAAAGGGTTCTGCTTGTATTATGATCAGCAACGGCTAGGGTAGCATGCTGTCAAAACATACCAGATAACATATTTTCAGAAACAGTAAGAGCAGAGCTGAAGGTGTGTGGTACATGACGGATGAGACTGTTACAAAGAATATCAAAACAGGCTGAGTCGCATATGTAACTTTGTTTTTTTTCGTTTCACACTTGAAGTAAAACAAGGCAGGTCACATAGACAGCCAAAGAAGCTGTCTAAGAAGTCACTGGACGAGTCGCACTGTAAACAAAAGAGAGAAAGAAGGGTCAAGAAAGAAATAATCAAGTAAACAAGAAGAACACCAAAGGAGAGGATCATGTAGGAAGTGAAAGAAAGATTCGACTCACAAGGATATATTCCAAGAACAGACGCGAGTGAAATGAAGAAGGTGAAGTGATCTAACAGGAAGAGGATAAAAACAAAGGATAAAGTTTTTGGCGTTAGTCAATCCCGTCTGAGAGACGCGCCCTCGCACTCGACTTCCAATCAGATTCGTAGTGACGTGCGTATGTGGCCTATACAGTGACTTGGGGTGGCCAGCCGATGTACGAGTCAGTGCTTTATTCCTCCCAGACGAGTCTGGTACCAATTCACCGATCGGAGGGATGGAAGGCTTGGTTGGCCTAGGCGGGCATCGATCCGAGATTCGATCCCTTGACCATGCGTGTGAGATAGTGCGCCACTTGCCACTATACCACCTCCGCCCAACAGAAAGAGGAATGCATAAAAAATGAAAAATTGGGAAAAAAAGATAGGAAGACTTTGGCAAAATTAGACGCATTCCCAAAATGAAAAACAATTGTCGGATTGGGGAGTTCAGGGGAGGAGAATAAGTGTGCCCTGATGAAACTTGGATAGATAGAGATGCGGGAGCAGAAAACTGTGAGGAGGGGGAAGCTACAAAAGGCCCATATACTAAGGCTGTTCTCCAGGAAGTTCATCTTTGTTAGATGCGGTATACATATAAGACCATGTCAGAACACGCTCTGAAACTATGTTCAATGAAGTCCAAATTTACTACTTGAGACCACTGAAATTCTTACATGTATGCCGATCACCTGCAGAGATGGAAGGACTTTCTACACAGCGTTAATAATTTACGAGCGTCTTGAGAATGGAAAAACTGCTCAATTTTTCAGAAATCTATGCCTGTAGAAACAAAGACAGGAAAAGAAGATTCCAAAGGCCCAAGATTGTACGATATCAAAGGATGAGCAAGAAAGATTAACAAAAAGTGGAATCGGAACAGGTCGCAGAAAATTACATTCTAGTGAAAAGGGTTGTGCACAGCAGATTAAATAGAAAAAAACTTGGGAGTTACGGAGGGCTGAGCTCCTCAAAAACTCCCATTTTATCAGGATTTTGACATTTTGAAAAGCGTAAAGTTGGAATATGTCCTACATCAT